CGGGGGGGAGCGAGCGGCGCCGAGCGCGGAGCACTGCCGCCTACCGGCACCGGGGCCGCCCGCCACCGGCACCGGCCTCAGCACCGGCACCGGACTCAGTGCCGGCACGGGGCACCGGCGTTGGTACGGGCACCGGCCTCAGCACCGGCACGGGGGTCAGCGCCGGCACGGGCACCGGCATCGGCACTGGCACCAGAGTCAGTACGGGCACAGGCACCGGCATCGCCATCAGTACCGGCACGGGAGTCACTACCGGTACCAGCGTTGGCATCGCCATCAGTACCGGCACGAGAGTCAGTACCGGCACCAGCATTGTCACTGGCATCACTGTCAGTACCAGCACAGGAGCCAGGACTGGCACGGGCACCGGCATCGTCATCAATACTGGCACAGGAGTCAGTACCAGCACCGGCATTGGCACTGGCACCAGTGTCAGTACCAGCATCAGCACCGGTATCAGCACTGGTACCAGTGCCAGCATCAGTAGCAGCACCAGCACCATCACCAGCATGGGCATCACCACCAACATGGGCATCGGCACCAACACAGGCACCAGCATGGGCACCAGCACCGGCACTGGTGTGGGAGGCAGTACTGGCACCAGCACCGGCATCAGCACTGACATGGGCACCAGTACCAGCACTGGTACTGAGCCCCAGAACCAGTATGTGCACCAGTGCCAGCACTGGTATCAGCATTGACATCAGCACTGGCACCAAGCCCTGGCACCAGCTTTGGCATCAGTATCGACACTAGAGTTTGCACAGACCTTGGCACCGGTGTAGTCCCAGGCATCGGTATTAGCACTGGCACCAGCATCGGCACTGGCACCAGCACCAGTACGAAACCCCAGGACCAGTATCAGGACCAGTGTTGGTGCTGGTATTGGCACTGGGATCAGCACTGGTGCCAAGCCCTGGCACTGGCACCAACAGCACCAGTATCGACATGAGAATTGGCACTGGTGTCATCACAACATCGGCACCAGCGTCAGCACTGGTACCAAGCCCCAGCACCAGTATCAGCCTCAGCATTGGCACCAGTATCAGCATCAGGACCAGTGTCGGTGCTGGTATCAGCATTGGCATCAGCCCTGGCACCAAGCCCTGCCCTCGGCACCAGTATTGGCACCGGCACCAGCATCCCCACTGGTACCAGCCCCAAGCTCCAGCATCAGCCCCAGTATCAGCCCTGGACCCAGTACCAGCCCCAGCCCCGATCCCAGTGGGTGCCCGGACCCCGAAGCCCCCCGGGGCTGCCCCGCGCAGCCCCCCAGGGTGACAGCCCCCCGGGTGACATGTCGGGGCTGGGGACGGGGGTGTCCCCTCCAGCCCTTGAGCTGAGCTGCTGTGGGACCCCCCCGTCCCCCCTCCAGCAGACCCCGGGTGACACCGGGTGACCCCGGGACGGTGGCTCTGCCGGACACGGAGCCGGAGCAGGGCCGGCCGCGGGCCCGGGGCAGAGCGGGCGGTGGGACCAGAAGGGTTAACGGGCTGAGCCGGCGTCACGGGAGCCCGAGCAGCCATTTCGCTGGAGGATGCCATCGCTTCCCGCCCCGGTGTCCCCTCCAGCGCCGTGTCCCCCCCCCTGGGGCACCCCGAAAACCCCCCGGCCCCTACCTCCTGGCACAGCCCACCCGCTGAGCTGGCACCCGCCGGCGTCCGGGGCAGGAGGAGGGGACCAGGGTGTCCCCTGGGACTGAGGGTCCCGTGGTGATGTCCCAGGGGGCTGGGGAGCAACCAAAGGTGGGGGAGGCGGGACCCCAAAGGACCCCCCAGCTTTAGGGCAGCTCCTTCTCCCTCTGTAATTAAGGGAACGGGTGAGGAAATGATGTTTTGGGCAGAATAAAAAACAGCTCAGGATTGGGGAAGTGCCATCATCCAGGACTGTCCCCTCCACCCGGGTCCCCAGGGACCAGGATTCTTCTGCGTCCCCCCACCCAGACCTCTGGCACGACGAGGGGGGACGGGGAGGGCACAGGTGCCGGCGTGTGACAACGGGGACCATCAGACAGACACAGCAGGGTCACATTAACCCCATTTTTTTGGGAAAACAAGCAAAACCTGACAGTTTACGGGGGTCTTTTTTTCACTCCCCGCCATCCCCTCGCCCCCAGCAGCTCCGGGAGGGAAGGAGCCACCTCCTGCCCCTGCCAGGAGGGGATGGGGACCGGCCACTGTCCCCCCTTCTCACTGTCCCCCCTTCTCACTGTCCCACCTCCTCACTGTCCCACCTCCTCACCCATCCAGGAGGCAGGTCCTTGCTGACGGGGAGCAGTCACGGTGACAAACACACACAGAAATGTCACCTCCATGAAGAGGGGACAGCAGGGACCCACGCGGCCACCAAGGGGTTTGATCATAAAAAAATCAAAGCTTTTCCATAAAACCTGCTGGGAGCTGGTGGGGATCAGTGACCCGCAGTGACCAGGGTATGAAACCCAGCCCTTGGGGCTGCTGCTGGTCCTGGGGGGCTGCTGAACCCCCTCCCCGCTTGTGGGGGGTCTGTCCCTCTTGCACCCCCTCCCAGTCTCCCCTGCCTTGTTCAAGGACACCCACCAGGCAAGGCCACCGCCGTGGTGAGGACACAGGACCTAAAATACTCCCCTGGACCCCACAGGAGGGTTGGGGCACCCAGAACCCCATGGCCAGGGCAGGGAGTCCCTCGTTTTCTCCTCTCCTCCCATGAGACATCTCTTTTCATCTGGTTTTGGTGGGATTTGAGGTTACGGCTGCTCCCGCGCTGTGTAAAACTCCAGGTTGAATCAAGAGTGTGGACAACAGGTTGCCCAGGGGCCAGTGACGTGCCCTGGTGGCCAAGGTGGCCAATGGTCTCCTGGGGGGCATCAAGAAGACGGGGTAAAAAGAGAGAGAAAGAGAGAGACAAGCACAAAGAAACTTGAAAAAGAAATCACCTTTTATCGGTATTAACCTCGAAATTTGCCAACTGAAATTTGCAGACCCCTCTTAATTTGCCAACTGAAGAGAAGGGGACGGGAGAGGGCACCTCGGAGGACAATCCGAAAAGCAGAATTAAACCAGAAAGGGCAGAAAAGCCTCAATTGCTCCATCCCGGCCTCGTTTCTACCGTTCAGAGAATGGAAGGGCTCTTAAAACTGAAAAATGTCTTATTCCGTTCCTGCTACTGACAAGGGGGAGCTTTACATTTGCAGACTAAACAAGACCTAAAGCTTTTTAAAAATAAAAGCAATAAATGTGCTCGAAATCCTCTTCAAAGAAAACTCGTCTTGCTAAAGATCTGGCTTTATTTTTTTTTTCCCCTCCGGCCACACAAACCCAGGAGTTTATCCCGTGGCTTGGATTTCCCAAAGCACAAATGTTATTTCTCAACACAAATCGAGGAATTTCCAGCGTAGGTTTCTTATTAATTAATCTAATCTACAAAAAACTCTTCCTCTCCCTGCTATGAGAGAATTATGAGTTTCCCAGGGAGGGATTGAGAGAATCTGCCGATTCCTGGGCATGTTCCAGTGAAAAAGACCCGATTTGTACCCAATTTCAGGCAAGTTTGTTCCGTTTTCCTTCAGCTGGAGCTCTGGGCTGGGATAACTCTTCATCTCGCGGCGCTTTCTGGGTGTAAATCTTCAATGGTTTGCATTTAAGAGTTATTTTTCCATGGAGACTGGAAACGCGACGTTTAAATACAGCGTCAGAAATAGCTATTTTTGAAGTTTCTAACAGCAACACGTGGAAGGAATGATTCCTCCCGCACATCAGTGATTTGTTTAATGGCTCTGGGCGAAGCCGAGGGAAAATTCCTGCCAGTGGAGAGGGGAGGAGGGTCTGTATTAGAGACAAAATCAAGGAAAATGATCTTTTTTTTAAAGCTGGATCTCTGTATTAACATCTCTGCACTTTTTACATCCCCAGCAGAGAGCAGTTCACTGAGTGGGTGCAGAGAGACGCTGGGAGAGGCTGCATTTCTCTCCGTGTTTCGTGTGAGGGGGTCAGGATATTGGGAAAAATCCGCCCTTTGCACCAGAGCCCTTGTGCTTAGAGGAGGAAAAAAATTGATAGGAATTACAGGAATTGAAAAGTTTTCACCAAATCAAAGATACAGCCTCTCTTTTCCATTCCTCTGGCACTCACCTCCCAGGACATGAGTCACCTCAGTAGGGTCTGACTCCAGATTTCACTATTTATTTTATTATCAGCCTTATCACCAAAGCTCTTCAATGTTTTCTATCCTTAATTTTGCTGTTTAAGGTTTGCTCAGCGGAATCTTTCAAGATCTTTCACCCAGGATTTATTCTCAGCAGCTCCAGAACAAACGGCTCCTGGCACAAAAACCACGCCATGGGATTCAGCCCCAAAATTCCAGGTGTTCAGCTCTTTCCCAGAGGGAAGCGCGGTTTCAGCAGGATGGCTTTTTTCACAGGATTTTCTCCGCAAGGAATCACCTCACACCAAGGAACTCTCACTCAGGAGGACACGGCGTACGACGTGTGACTGCCAAGGCATCAAGCTGCGTGGGAGAAGAGTAAGAGAAAAGCTGCCCCCAGGGCAATTATGAGAAGGAAAAAAAAAAAAAAAAAAAAAATCAAGAAGCTGGTGATAAAAGAGTTTTCTGGAAGTTATTCTCATATTTGGGAAGGGCAGGGAAGCTTTGGGGCCAAGCAAAACCCCTCAGTCCCCTTCAGAAGCTGTGAAACTCCACCACAGCACCAGTGGGTTCTCACTCCTCTGCTCCTCACGGGACACTGAGGACTTTGATTCCACTCAGGGGCTCCCTGCAAAGCCCAAGCTGGAGGTAACATGAGTTATTAAACCTTTGAACTCAGCTGGAATAAGCAAAAAATGCTGAATATCCCCTACCTGTGAAGAGAAGACGTGTGATCTGCAAACTCTGTTTCTGCAGGACTCCCATCCCGTCTGCTGATCTTGGCCCCAAAGCTGAAGGCACCACTTTAATGTCACTTATACTTTGCATATACATTAAGAACAGACCCGGGGCTACAACAGACCCGAGGTAGGAGCCCTGGGGGAGCGGGGCCAGAGAGATGCTGGGAGGGCTGGAGCCTCTCTGCTGGGAGGGGGGGGGCTGAGAGAGTTGGGGGGTTCAGCCTGGAGAAGGCTCCAGGGAGATGTTGGAGCCCCTTCCAGTCCCTCAAGGGGCTCCAGGAAAGCTGGGGAGGGACTCTGGATGAGGGAGGGGAGGGAAGGGTTTGACACTGAAAGAGGGGAGATGGAGCTGAGATGTGGGGAAGAACTTGTTTGGTGTGAGGGTGGGGAGAGCCTGGCCCAGGTTGGCCAGAGAAGCTGTGGCTGCCCCATCCCTGGAGGGGTTGAAGGGCAGGTTGGAGGGGGCTTGGAGCAACGTGGTGTGGTGGGAAGTATCCCTGCCCAGGGCAGGGGGTGGCACTGGGGGGGGTTTAACGTCCCTTCACACCCAAACCGTTCTGTGATTTCCATGACAGGGCTTTCCCTGCCACATCTGCTGTCCTATGACTGTAACCACTGAACTAACGTGGTTTTTTTTCAGTTGCTATTTTTACATCAATCCCAACCATTCGCCTTATCCTACCCTCTTAGAAGCTCCATTTCCTGCTCACAGCTCAGCGGACAATCCTGTGCTGATCGTGACATTTTCTCTGTCTTCTCATACCCAAAAAAACCCTTCCAGCATTTTTCTGCTTTAACAGAGACACTCTCTAGCATGTGCCATTCAGTGTGCCAGAAGATCTTTTTAATAATGCTTTCGGTACAGTCAGCACTGCTCTACACAACTCCTCCTCCCAGATATGAGTCATCTTGCCGTTAATTAAAATCAGCTCCTAATCAATGACTGTTAGGCTGGCAGCAACCCCATGCTTTTCATGCTCGAACTGGATTCAGCCTCATTAAATTGTCTTATCCTAAAGCCTCACCTATAATCACTGTGTGACTCGAGGCATCATCTCTGGATGGAGAAGGATTTTTTTTTTTTGATAAATGAGTGGGGGAAAAAAAAAAAATCTCTCTCCCAGGAAAGGTTTTGGCACAAGGGTTACGTGGGTACGTTATGAGTTCGCAAATGATTAGTGAGTCTGGGTTTTTCCACAAAAGTTTTGTCACATTCTGTGCACTTGTAGGGCCTCTCCCCCATGTGAGTTCTCCGGTGGTGAGCAAAGCTCTTGCCACAGTCTGTGCACGTGTAGGACGAGGCCTGACTCTTTTTGGTGTGAATTTGCTGATGTTTCAGAAGGCTGATTTTCAATTTAAAAGTCTTCTGACACTCTGTGCATAGAGTCCTTCCCCCATACGGGTTTGCTCATAAAAAAAGGATTTCTTCAGATTCACCCAGTTCTCCTTCCTCGAGAGAGCTGTTACCTCCTCTGCTTCCCGTTGGATTCCCCTCATCTGCTGCTGAATCCCAACGACTTTCGGATACTACCCCCTCGACGCAAATTTGGCCAGTGGCGTCTCGGGATCCTCCTGAGAATGATCCACACAGTTCTGTGGTTTCCACACTCTTGGGGTGACCCCACGCCTGGGCTCTGCCAGCAGCACCACCTGGAACAGAAACATGCCAAATGCTCCTTTTATCTGAGGCAGGACAACATCACATCTCCAAAGAGTGACAATTCCCAACTCACCATGGCTACATCCATGCAAATAAACCAAGTTTGGGGTAAAAAAAAAATAAAAATCAGGGATGCAGTAGAACATCACCCCCTACCCCCGTCTCATCCTACGAGCCCATGTGGTTTCATTGTGTTTCCAAATTAATTTCTGACGAGCCTTGGGGGCACCACACACCTGTGGGGATCTCCCTTTCCTCAAAATCCACTTCTCTCAGCTGGACGCTGCTTTTGGGAGCAGGACAGTCTGCGCAAGGAACAGAACATGGAAGTGCTGGTTATTATTTTCCTCTGATATTTTCTTTCTCATTATTACAAAGATATTTCCTCACCTACTTTCATTGTATTGACATAGACAAAGGAGACACTGCACAAAGACCGGAGCCGAAGGCAGCTCTTTGTCAGCGTTTTCACTTTCACCCCTCTGAGCCCTCCAGATTATTTATGCCCTTTTTCTGTAACATGACTCATTTTTGTTAATTTACACCAGAAATACTGCCTTCTCAAAGAACAATTTTCTAGTTGTTCCCAGAACTGTAAGAAAATACTTTGTGATGCCATTTTCCAGCAAATACCTGCAGAACCCACTGTTTCTATGACTCTGGGGAAAGGTCCAACGAGGAGGTAACAGCAAAAAAAAATTGAGAGAGGGTGGCTGGGAAGCAGGTGAGCAATATTCACCTTCCAAAATTTTTTAAGTATTCCAGAAATTATATCCAAAAGGTTGAAAAGTTTTAAAGGGGAAGGTCTCAAATTAATTACAGCCATAAAAGTGTAATTGAGCCGTCTGGGCTGTGCATTTTAACTGCCTTTTTGCTACATGAGTTGATTTTCCCCCAGCTAATCCCTCCTCACACAACGCTCAGCACAGGCTTTTCAACAGATCAGAGCTTTGCAAAAAAAAAAAAAAAAAGGCAGCTGTCTGCAGACTCCAGCTTTTCTACTGTGAAAACCAGAAGGTATGGAAAGAAGAATAATAAAAGTAGAATTACAGCGTCTCATTACTTCATGAAATTTCAACTTAAACAGTGCAGAAGGAGCAACAGAATGAGGTTAGGCTAAATCAGTGTTTCCTAAACAGAGCTGACGAGCATCACAAAACTAGAATAAGCAACAAGGGAGGCTCCCAGGGTTCTCAGCATTTCTGTTCCCCCAGCCCAGAGGACAAGAAAATGCATTTTTAGCCCCAAATTCCAGCAGGTTCTTCTATTAATCCAAGGAATTACCTGAAAGCTGAGGAGCCAGTGAGGGCTCATATCTTCAAATTTAACAAAAAAACCCAATGACTTCAAACAAATGTATAGTTGGGCACTTAAAACTAACTAGTAAAATGTCTGCATTTTCTTCAATTTTCTTTATTTCTCTTCTTCCTCTCCCTGGAGTGAGAGGTGGGGGAGAGCATCTGTCATCTTGTCATTGGCCAACCCAGCACAAGACACGACAATCATTCACGTTACTTAACTATTTCTTCATCAAAATAGTTCAATACCCTTTCGTCAATCATGAAAACCAACAGACATCAGGATTTGGGGATGATGAAAACACTCACAACTTCCCAACTTCACTGTAATTAATGAGTCCGTGGGATTTGTGACACCATCAGTCATTACAGCTCCTGAGCTTGTGCATCTAAGCCTTTCCCCATCTCCTTTTTAGCTTGTTTTAGTTGGCACGTGCATCACCAGGGGCAGGGCCAGAGATCCCAAATCCCTCTCCTGGGGCAGAGCCTGTTGCTCTCAATTAATTCTACCTGTATCCCAGGGACACGCTCTCACTTACAGCCACAGATCAAGTGTCCAACTCCAACAGAGCCTTTTTAAAGAGTTTTTCTAACTCTTTTCCATCAGAAAAGAGACAGTCCTGCGGTCTTCAATGAAAAGACTGTGGCACTTTTCTTCTCTGACAAAAATTCACAAGCATCTAAAGATTAATCCACTAGAAATCAAAGGCTTTGAGGAGTGAGTCTTAGGCCAGAAACAGCACCGACCCGTGAGCCTTTGGCACGAAAAGCAGTGAAAACTCACCTTTACCCAAGGTGGTTAAAGATTCATCATTCTCCTTTAGCACTTTCTTGTACAGCTCTTTCTGCCGCTCTTCCAGGTCCGTCCCCTCACGTGCTGCAGCATCGTCAAGCATCCCAGGGACCTAAAACAAAGCATCCCATCGTCAATGCCACTGGAGAGTCAGAGATTCCTCAAAAATCTTCTTTTTCCAAACAGTATTAAACAATGGGTCACCAGCCACCTGTTCCTGGCAATGCTTGTCTTACATAGAACCAACGCACTAATTAAGGGCTTTACATACAAATCCTTTATTGTCATTTCTGTATGTAGCTCAGGACAAGTAAAATAACTTACCAATAATGCGACTCAACTAAAACAATGACTTTCTATAACAGCTGGGTCAAAAATTAGTCACAAAAAAAGAGATATATGGTCACCATCAATATCCAGCCCCGGCAGGGAACTGAGCTTTTCTTTTCACTGAAAACCAGAAAATACTCCAGAACGTGTACTAAATAACCCCTGACCCTGTTAGATCCAGCTGTGAGAGCTCTTCCCTAATAATAAAAGTTAACACAAACAAAAAATTAAGCCCTAAAAATACAGAGAGATGGACACTACATTTTTTTGTACATGCACATGCTGTGAGCATACTTTGTACCTGTCCTTTTTATCTATAGAGTACCGTGTTTGTACCTTCTTGCCTCTGAAAATGCTTTGATTTGCCTTTCAAGCTAACACACATCTCACTATTTTGGATGTTTTGCAGTTTGCACCGCGTACAAACCTGTTTGTACAAATCCGCTGCCAAGAGAAACAATTAATTTTTATTAATTTGTGGCTAGATGGGGGTCGCCACCCAAATTAGACACACAGGGGAGAAGGTTGAGCCTTTGTCTCAGCCCCGAACACCAAAGCCATGGGCACCACACCCCCCCCCATCATCTGGGTGACTCTAAAGGACATTTTTCTGAGCGTGAGGACCCTCAGGCACAAACACAGGTCTGCAGGGAGCAAATCCCTTTTGCAGCAGGAACTGGGACTGTGTTTCCAACAAACAGGAGGTTTTCCCCCTTGAGCATCTAGGCACAGAATTTGAATCTGAGCAGAGAGGGCACCAAAACGCCTTTAATTTCTCCCAGTACAAGTAAATCTTTTCATTTAAGAGAAGCAACACAACAGCAAATGTTGTAATTACCCTCAAGGGCTCAGGATTCCGGATTCGTTTTCGGGTTTTATTACTTATCCCAGCACAGAAAGTCCGGGGTGTTCCCACGAGCCAGCTCCCCTCTTCACCCAAAAGGAATTTTTTTGGGAACAGCTTCTTTCAGCAGCCGCCTGTTCTTTCTCATTTTCAAAGGGTTGATTTCAAAAGAACTCTCCTCAAAATGCTTCGAGCGCAGTCGCTGGTGCTTGGACGGGTCCCCATGTCCCAGCCCATGTTGTGAATCCACTGCTTCAGGAGGGGCTTGTTTTGTAAAAAAAAACCATAGAAAGTCACGCTGCTGTTCTTGTACACCTTGTTCTTCTGACAGTTCAGCGCCGAGCAATAAACCATCATCAGGTGAGAAACAGGAACAAATCCAAAATATAACGTGCCAGGAGGAGGGCTTAAACAGTTTTTAATCACCTTTAGCGTTAAACATGCCTAAACTTGTCAAAAAAAAACCAAACACATGTTTTTGAAGGACAGAAAGAGCTGAGGTCAGGAAGAAGGGAATTGTGGTGTTGAACTTCACTGCCAGAGATGGGGAGCCCAACACAGCTGACGTCTGCAGAACAGGGAGAGGAGGAGGCAGGACCCTTTCCATGGCACGCAGTTTCCCCACTTCAAAGCAACAGCATACAACCTGGAAGGCAAAAGCCTTTAAAATCAGCTTAATGAACCATTGCTATGCAGATTTACATTTAAAGTAACTTCCGCTATGTACGTGTCTATATACATGCCATTAATTTGTGTAGCCATGAGGAATCCTCCCACGCTCCACAACAAAGCTTATTACACCGTTATTCAGAAGGCAGCAATACAGGGCGACAGACAATTAACTTCCAAACAAATTAATGAGAGAATCGTCTGGGTTGGAAGGGACCTTTCAGATCATTGAGTCCAACCATCAACCCACCACTGCCAAACCCACCACTCACTCATGTCCCTCAGCACCATGTCTGCCCGGCTTTTAGATACCTACAGGGATGGTGACTCCACCACTGCCCTGGGCAGCCTCTGCCAACGCTTTACAACCCTTGCCAGGAAGAAATTTTTCCCAATCTCCACCCTAAACCTTCCCTGGAGCAACTTGAGGCCGTTTCCTCTTGTCCCATCGCCTGTTCCTTGGAAGAAGAGACTGAGCCCCTCTCTCACAACAACCTCCCAGCAGAGAAAGGGCTCTGCAGAGCACACAGGGAATGCTCCTGGAAGCAAACACAGCCCAGGCCTAACGCTCACAATCGCTCTCCCCATCACACTGCGCTTCTGGGAACATCCACGGTCCATCCTGGCATTGGTCACAAGAGAAAACCCGGCACCTCAGGCCCGGGGCACACCACCGAACTGCAGCCCTGCTGTGGGCCCCACTCACCCCCCGTTCCCTTGCACAGCTGGGGCAGGAGGCGCTCGGTAACTCCCTCAGGGCCCACAGCTGAGCTCGGGGCACACAGGCCCACCCGACCCCAGGGGCGGCCATAGGTCTCCCCCGTCCCCGGGGGCCGCCACAGGCCTCCACCGCGGCCCAGAGCACCCAGGGAGACCGTTCCCCGCCCCACACCACGGCGGGAGCAGCCGGGCCTGCCCTGACAAACACCGCTTCCCCCTCCCCGGGTACCGCCGGCCGTTCACCGGCCCCGCCGCGCCGCCATCTTCCCTCCACACGGCGAAGCCCCGCCTCTCGCCCGGGCCCCAGCCAATATGGGGAGGCGGCCGGCCCACCTCTCCACGCCATTGGTTCTCCGCCGCTCGCCCCGCCCTGTCATTAGCGCGCGCTGACGGAGGCCAGCCAATCACCACGGGCAACTGCGGCGCGGCCTCCGCGAGGAGCGAGAGGGGGTTGGATCGGCACGTTCATTCCCATTGGCCGGCAGGAGAAGAAGCAGGGCGCTGATTGGAAAAGGGCGGGCGTGACGTCGCGGACAAGGGAGGCGGGGCTCGCGAGCTCGGCGCCTTCCCGTTGTCATGGCAACGGCGGGGCCGCCCCGGGCCGGGCCTGAGGCTCCTCCCGCCGCGACGGGGCCCGGGCGGCGGAGCGGGGCGGGGAAGCGGCGGCGAGGGCTGGAGCCCCTCTGCTGGGAGGGGGGGGAGTTGGGGGGGTTCAGCCTGGAGAAGAGAAGGCTCCGGGGAGACCTTGGAGCCCCTTCCAGTCCCTAAAGAAGGGGGGCTCCAGGAAATCTGGGGAGGGACTCTGGATCAGGGAGGGGAGCCAGAGGAGGAGGGGGAAAGGGTTTTAAGCTGAAAAAGGGGGGATTTAGGTGAGATCTTGGGAGGAAATTCTTTGCTGGGAGGGTGGTGATATGTCCCATCCTTGGAAACACCCAAGGTCGGGTTGGAGGGGGCTTGGAGCCACCTGATGTGGAACAATGGACCTGTCTAGATCAGAAGGAGCCTTCCAAATTGAGTCTAAAGGTCTTGAAGTCTGAAGATCCTCCAGGGATGGGGTTTGGTGGGGGGGAGTGGTGGGATGAAAGGGAAGGGGTTTCAGTTTAAAAATGGGAGATTTAGGTGAGGTCTCAGGAGGAAACTCTTCCCCCTGAGGGTGGGGAGAGCCTGGCCCAGGTTGGCCAGAGAAGCTGTGGCTGCCCCATCCCTGGAGGGGTTCAAGGGCAGGTTGGAGGGGGCTTGGAGCAACCTGGGCTGGTGGGAGGTGTCCCTGCCCAGGGCAGGGGGTGGCACTGGATGATCTTTAAGGTCCCTTCCCACCCAAACCGCTCAAGGATTCCCCCTTCTCCATTGTCAGGTATTTCCACAAAGCTTTGCCTTGAAAACGGAGGTTTGGGGGATGCCAGACCCAGAGTTTCTCCCTCTTGCTTTGACCTTGCTCATCTTTTCTCCCCCACCCCCTGTAGAACGACGCGTAGCATTTTTTTAACAATATTAATATTTTTTTAAAAAAGAGAACTTTCCATTCAACAGAAAACCATCCGAACAAAACTCAGGCAGAAACATGCACGTAAAAAAAAGGCTGTTTAGCAAAATTTGTCGCAGCTGTCTGACAGTGAAGGAGCCCTGACCCAAAACAGGCTCTTGCCTGACTCAGCCAAAGCTGCTGCTTCTGGATTATTTTTTCCATGAGGCTCAAGGCCGTCGACAAGCAGGTGACAGACGATACGTCCAGAGTCTTTTATTACCAAAAGGAATGAACCGTGTCCTTGCAGCCTCACAACAACATGTCAGACTCTCAGCAGCGCTCTCCTCCTTAGGAGACACTGATTATGGGGAAAAATGCAGTTTTCTGAAGGAGAATGTTTAACGAGTGCAGCTGAATGTTCTGTTTTCATAGAAGTCAGAAAATCAAACAGAGAAGACCTGTAACCAGGTGGTAAACTGAATCCAATGCAACTTTAAATAAAAACCATATTCCATGCTCCTTGGGCGTTTTACAACTCCAGGTGAGGACCCCAGCCCTCGGGAACCCCTTCTAGGGGCTGAACCCCAGGAGCTCCGGCATTTAACTGCGGGAAGGAGCTGCCTCTCAGGCTCTGCTCCCCTCTGTCTGGCTCCCGCTTCCCAAAGAGGCTTCTTTCAAACAGCCACAGGGTCAAAACCTCAGCATTTCACCCCAAGTGGTTCGTTTCCTGACACTTGTTTAGTGGACAATTAGTAACTTTAACTCGCTCGTTTGCAGTCCAGCCCCTGGACTCTGGACTCCCAGCAGCCTGGGGACAAAACTTCAGGTATTTTTCCAGCCTGGAGCGTTACAAACTGTTCCATCTGCTGATGGGATTTCTCTCCCTCGTGGATTTACTGGCCAGCAGTAACTCTGAGCACCGCAGACTCCCTCCACGGCTCCAGCACATACCCAAGGAATACAGGCAGCAGGAAAAGCTGGGAAGCAGCTCCCCCGACCATTTCAACGCGGTCTGTGGAAAATAACCCCCCTTCCAACCTTCTCCCTTTGCCTGGGAGGGGGCTCAGGACGGCTGTTCGACAGCCTCCTCCTCCTGCCACGGCCCAGCACGGAGCTGGGAAGTGCTGCCACGGCCCAGCAAGGGTGATGCCAAAGGGGGGGCTTGTGAAACCCCCCGTCTGGATGGGATTTTCTACACGGAGTGCATGACAGACCCCCGGATCTCGGCGCAGGGCCAACCCGCCAGCGTCAGGTGTGTTTCTTCCACGTGACTTTCCTGGTGCTTCATGAAACTCCTCCTGAGCACAAACCTTTTCCTGCAGAGGGGGCACTGGAAGAGCCCCTCTCCCGAGTGCTGGCGCTGGTGTTTTAAAAGATAATCCTTTCTCCTGTAGCTTTTGTCACACTCGGAGCACTTGTAGGGCCTCTCTCCCGTGTGAGTCATCTGGTGCCTAACGAGCCACGAATGGCAAACGAAGCTTTTCCCACAGTCGCTGCAAATGTAGGACTTGCCCCGGCCCTGGCTTTGCCCCTGGCTGGCGGGGCTGCCCCTGGGGGCCAAGTGCTGCCTGCATCTGCCACAGCCCTCCGACTTCTCCTGGGGGTGCTCCCAGCAGGGGCTGCCTAACGAGTTTTCCGCCGGGAAGTTCTCCTCGCTCTCCGTGGACGGCTGCTCCTCTCCCACCAGGCCGTTGTGGTCACGAAGCTGGGTTCCTCCCCCAGGGATCTGTCCCCTCTCGGTGCGGGCCACCCCGGCAGGCAGCCCCTCGCAGGAGGCAGGAGCAGCCCCCTGCCCGTGGGGGCTCGTTTCTTTCTCACCGGGAGCGCAGAGCTGGGAGTGAAGCAGGTGGAACATCCTATCGCTGAGACTCTTCTCACACGTAGGGGCTGGAAACATCTCCCCTTCTCGGGCTGCCTGGGGAGCCGGAAGATGTTCCTGCTGGCTGGAGTTTCTCTCACATTTGTTGTACGCGCACGCTCTCTTGCTGACACTGTTTTCCTGAGTGCTAAAAAAATCGAAGTGCTCACCAAACCCTCGGTCGTACCGAGCGTCGCCCCCAAGGCCGTTCCCAGTGGTGTTTGTTTCCATCATTTCTGAATTCCACTGACTGTCCCATGTCACTCCGGGGGTAGGATCCTTGGAAAACTTCTCTTCGGGTCTCGCCGGTAGCTCCGGGTCACACGCTGTGCTTTCAAAGCAATCTGCTGGAGGGTCCCTCTTTGGGTTTTCATCGTGCACTGAAACAGAGAGATTCCAGAGCCTTTCAATTAAGGAAGCCTCTTAGGAGCATCCCCCTGAATCTACAGCCATGTCGTGCTCACAGACAGAGAAAGCAAATAAGATGTGAGGTTTTAATACTGAGGGGGAGAGCATGTACCAGGGTTCCACTGAAACAAAACCAGGAAAACAGAAGATGTTTTTGCAATTATTTTTTTTTCCAAATCTACACCCCAAAAAAATCACTAATGCAACATCGTATCTTCACCCTCTCATTCGGGTGTTTGAAGTGTGAGATCTAAGACCCTGCCAGAGGCAAGTTCGTCCCTCGTCTTACTCTATAGTAACTCCACCACGTGTGCAGGAATGTTTACACACCTCCCATGAGGTGAAGGAATTCCAAGCTCCCAACCCATTTCTACACAGAATATTCCCCTGCACCCTCTCCTCTCCTCAGTTACCCATTTGAGAGCTACGCTGAGTGTGGCCCAAGAGATCATATTGGGAATCATTTTGGTTGGAAAAGCCCCTTAAGATCATCGAGTCCAACCATCAGCCCAGCACTGCCCAAGCCCAGCACTGCCCCATGTCCCTCAGCACCACGTCTGCCCAGCTTTTCAATCCCTCCAGGGATGGTGACTCCACCACTGCCCTGGGCAGCCTCTGCCAACACTCAACAACCCTTGAACAGAAACCTCTGACAGTTTCAGGCCAGATGAAGGAGGAAGAAACCTCTTCAGCTGACAAAACCTGAACATTTCGTGAGCAAATATTAACTATCAGACTGAGGTTTGTTCCAGTTCTTTCATGGCTTTACATTATAAGGTCGTGGCATTCAATACAGTATGAAAAAATGCTCTAAATTCGATTTCCTCTCCCAGAAATCTCAGCTGAAGCCCAGGACTGACCTGTACTTGCATCTGTAGGGATTTCTGCTTTCTCCATGCCCTGTCGTTCAGGGCAGCGCGGCTCCTCCTCTTGTTTAATCCACGATAAAACATCTGTGGCATAACTCTGAAACCCTGCTCATCGGGGAGAATCGACACAACTGAGAAACACGGGAGAAAGATGCAAAACACCGAAGATTCGGGAATTCACAAAGATAAGAAAAGTGCTAACAAAGCCTCAGGAAAGACACGATGAGCCGCCCGAGGGGCAGTTTTTGCTGGGGAATCCTCACCTGGGTCAGGGTCTCGGGGGGTGTCCTCGCCCCCCACGCCTGGCAGCTCCCTGGGAAATGTCTCCTTCCCTTTCTTGGTCTGACGCGATGCCTCGGGCTCACAAAACCCTGGTTCTGCTAAAGGAGAAAATTCAAGACAGGCATATCATAAGAGCATGAGCTCAGGATTCCACAAGGGTGAAACCCACTCTTATGGGTTCTTTTTTTTCCCGTTTTTCCCCAAGCCAAGCTCCTGTAAGCCCAGTTTCTAAATTAAACACGACAGAAAGGCCTAAAAACCCCAGTTTGCTGCGTACACTGGAAGCCAAGCACAATGACAGCGGAGCCCACAGACAGAGCTGCTGCTTTTTGTAAAGACTAAGGACAGCCAAGCTCCAAAGCAGAGTGGTTTATCTGTAACGCAAAAACTCGGGTACCACCAAGAGGGAAGGCAAGAAGCAGGTCTCTGGGCTGCAACAGCACGACCAAGGAGTCGCTGCGCTCATTTGTGGGCAGAAAAACCACTGAAGAGAAGGAAGGGGGGGGAAAGGCAACGTGAAACCTCTGGATGTGCAGGAGAAGAGGCACTGAAGCCTCTGGCTGTGCAGGAGGAGAGGCACCGCAGGCTGCAAGAGAAGTGAACCCATCGGCCCCAAAAAGTGACTCGGGGCCCACTTTGCACTACAAATTTAACCAGCTTAGAGCTGTCAACTTGAGGGAAGCCAAGTCAGGAATTTAAGGGAGGATGAGACACTTCCTATTCCTCACTGCACTGCTGGGATGAAAACCAGCCACGTACTCTGCAAACTCCACAAGGGACACGAAAAGGGAAATACAAAACACCAGCCCTTACCCGTCAGGCCTGACGGTGAGTCTCTTCAAAAGTTGTCAGCTTTTTATAAAACATTCCAAATATATGAAAAGCGGTGGGAAAACAACAACAAAAAAAACCCCAGCACCTTGGAATTTAATCCCTCTGTTTCATTTTCCCTCCCAGGTATGCAGTTACTCACCCGGGCAGGGCTCCTCAGGAGCTTCTCCAGCCTCCCCCTCCCGCTGATCTGCAGCACACAACTCTTCCTCTTGCTTAATATGGATTATGCTGTCTTCTGTTAATAGGAAACAACGTTGTTTTAATTCCAGACGCAAAATTAACTCCCTTTCTCATCCCCTCCCAGGCGCAGCGGCTCCGTTCTAGCTCACATTCTAGAGAAAACCTCACTTTAGTTCCTGTTCTCGCTGACCAAGGCCTCTTAAACAGACCTAAAATATTTGTCACAAAACCCTCAGCAGATGTTTGAGCTTCAGAAAGGTGCAAGTTTCATGCACGTGTAAAGTCTCATTTGTTGCAGCGCAAATGAAAATACATTCTACGTGGTTCCAGGAGAGGGGAGAGCCCCCTGAATTCTCCTTCTGGAGTTTTGTTCCTCTTTTGGTTCTGCCAGAGTTATGCTTTTCAGTCGTAAAATGTGCACCGCTTCTAACCCATCGGAAAAGCACCAGTGAGAATTATAAATTAAAATTATTTTTAAAAAAAAAAACAAACAACCCCCCAAAAAGGTCTATGAAATAAATAAGGAAAACCAGACGGGCTAATGCGCTGCACGTCACCTTTATACCTCTGTAACACAATCCACGAGTTACAGGAAAACTTTGCGCGTGTGTAAAAACAACTATGTTTGTGCAGAGGGAATAATACAAAGTCCTCTTGCCAGAGGCCTTCAGAGTGGAAAACCCGACGGTCTAACGGCTGCGGGTTTGACACGGGCAACTCGGTGACCAGGAGAAGGAAGAAAAAAAGGTGGTTTGACGTGTTTTGGGAGATGCCCGACAGCCAAGTGGGGAAGACCACCCCGTTCCACACCGCCAGTGCCGCGGAGAGAGGCTGACATCCCCAAGAGACCCCCGCTGCTGGGTTTTTGGTGGTCCACGTCTTGCCAGCCCGAAGCCACTCACCGGTGCCGGTTTCCTCGGCGTCACCTCTCCCGTCCCCGTCCTCGCCGCCGGGAGCAGCCGGTGGGTTCCCACCTTCCCACCGGGCCTGGGCATCCCCTCGGGGAGGGTCCGGCTCTGCGGGAAGCCTGAGGTGAGGCACGGGCCGGGGGTCCCGCCGCACGGGGGACCGTCGGGGACCCCTGGCCACCCGCCCCAAACCCCGCGGCCACGGTCCTTACCGAGGGCGAGCAGCATGCGGCAGTCGCTCCTCAGGAGGGCTCGGTGCAAGGCCCGCTGCCAGCCCCGCAGCGCCCGCCGCTCCCGCTCGCCGAACTGCACCCACACCTCCTCCCG